CGAAGTTGAGGCCCCCATTTTTTTTTTTTTTTTTTTTTTTTTTTGTACTGGGGTTCGAACTTGGGACCTTGTGATTTTTGAGGCAGGCGGCCGCACCACTGAGCTAAATCCCTGGCCCACCTTTACTTTTTACTGTTTAATAGGCATTTCCTCAGACTGGTAGCTCTGGGAGACTGACCAGCCCAAGAGGAACAATCCAGGATACTGACATCAGAGGCTCCGCTGGAAAAGGCCCACTCAGAACACCTGTCAGTGGTGAGCCTCTGGCATGGCGCATATGTTATTGTTCTTCTTTTGAGATTTAAGATGTTAATGTATGAGTTGTTTTCTCTACACTAAGACCTCAGGTTTCATTGTGCGTTGGCACTTTGTGATAAATAGGTGGGTTTGGGCACTCCATCTCTAAAAGGTTTGCCGTCCCTAACCTAAGTGAAGCTGAAACTGTAAGCCTCAACCATGTACAGTAAGTCCCCGACTTACAAACATTTGAGTTGTGAACTTTCCCAGATACGAATGGACCTTGTGTTATGAACATCTGTAGATGTGAAGACATTATGGAAGCGACTCCTCACAGTCGTGCTGCTGGATGCCTATGTACAGTGTGACAGTAGACCATAGTACCGTACTCAGAGCCCAGAATTTCCAGAAGGGGGAGGGAAAGCAGTGGTGATGTGGAAAGGGCTGCTAGGAAGCACAAAGCAATAACCATGGACGAAAAGTGAAAATAATTGAGAGATTGGACCGAGGCAAAAAGATGGTGACACCGTTTGTTTTTATAGCACGGATCATTCAACTATTGGCACAATTCTAAAGAACAGGGGCGAGATCATGGCACATGCGAAGTGTGCTGTGCCACTGACTCACTTTGTCAGACTTACGAACGAATCCTGGAATGAAACCTGTTTGTAAGTCAGGGGACTGACTGTAGATAGATCTTTATACTCACAGACGTGGGTGGGAAAGGAATTTTGGAAGAAAGCTCAGAAATGAGAGAGGAAAAACACACTGAAAAAAGCCAGATGTGCTAAAATAGACTATTTCAAGAAAATTAATATTGGTGAACTCTGGGGAACAAAAGTTTGGCTGCATTGTATGCTTCTTGTGTGAATTAGCTCATAAATCACTAGTGAATAAAGGGATTTTATAAATATTGATCTCTTAATTTTAGTTCCTATGTGATTTTTGTTTTTTTAAGCAAATCAGTAGATTTATTGACTCTAACAAGAAAAGATCTTCATTTAGTTGGTACACTGGCAGCAGGTCCCTGGGAATGTTCTTGAAACTTTTAAAATAAATGCTTATAGCCAGGGCTTCCTCCCAGAGAGAGACCCCGTTTTGTACAGTTGCTGGCTGGAGGCATGCAGAGCACCTCCGCATTAACTGGCGGCCTTATGGTTTGGGTAGATCTCTTCTGTGAACATCTTGGGGTCTCCTAGCCCTACTCTTAGTTTTACTAGCCCTTCTATTGCTTTTTTTTTTTTTTAGAAACAATTTTACTGAGGCATACTTGCTAATGCAATAAAATATAACTTATTAAAATATGATAAATCTGATATACCTGTGAAATTATCATTGTAATCAAAATAATAAGCATGTTCAACACCTCCAGAGGTTGCCTCACACATAACTGATTTTCCTTCCTGGTCTCCGGCCCCCCACTCCGCCTTTCAAACTGCTCTATTATTTTTGAGTATTTTTAACATCTCTAGTCTCCAGCTATGCCGAGTAGTCTGAGTGACCCAAATCAATGACTGTAATCAGTAACTTTTTAAATAAATTTTTTCCTATCCTGTTCTCCCCCTCAAGCCCCTTCCCTCCTATGTATAAAGCTGTTTCCATTTATTTAATTTGTAAATATCAAATTGCTTTTATTTGCAGATGATATTGCACTATATGTAGACTTTTTTTCCTCATTGAGTTCATTGGTACTTTTTAGATGTACAGCACAGTTACATTCATCCCTGGGATCCTGTACTCTACCTGACAGGTCTTGGTTCTCATTTTCCCCTTGTCCCTGCCCTCCCTTCACCCCTCCTCCCCTCCCCTTTACAAACACTTCATTTCCATTTTTTCATTTTCTCCTCTCCCTTATTCCCTTTCCCCCACCCTTCCCACGTTCCCTACACCTTTGGCCCCTTTCTTCCTATTTCACATTCCATTTTTACTTTTTCTCGTCCCTTCTTTCCTTTCTCCTTCCCTCCTCCCTTGTTCTCATCTGAACACTTTCTTCCCATTTCCCAACATCCACTTCTCTGTTATTTTTAATGTTTTTGTAAGATGATAGATTTTTCAGGAATACATATATCATGCAGTTGTAAAACATGGGTCACATTAAAAACAAGGATACTGAAAGAAATTATAGTAAGAGTTCAGGAAATTAAGTAGAAAGGGGGAGCTGAGTATAATACTTGGAAGAGTATGAGAGAATCTAGAAAACTGACAAAAAGCGGGGGGCATGTCTAGAGTTTCAAAGAACTAAATACAGTAATAGTTTTCCAGGAAGGGAGGAAAAAAATGGATAAGGGCAGGAAACCCTGAACAAAATAATTTAAAAATTTCCAATTAAAAATAATAAACGTTTAGATTGTTAGAGTGTCTAGCACAGGGAATGAAACTATACATTAACATACTATAAGATTTCAAAATCTTCACAGTATGTTTAAGTTTCTTGGGAGGAAAAAAATGTATCCTATTGGGCTGGGGATTTAGCTCAGCAGTTTCACCATCTGCCTTGCAAACGAGCACGAGGACCTGAGTTTGATTCCAGTACCAACAACTAAAAAAAAAAAAATAAAATGAAAGGCCCACTCATAGGGGCTCTTTTTTACCAACAAATAAAAAAAAAAAAAATCAAATGAAAGGCTCACTCATAGGGGCTTTCAACTTTTTTTTTTAGCCAGGGTCTCACTTTGTAGTCCAGGCTGGCCTTGACTATGTGACCCAGGCTGGTCTCAACTCTTGTGTCCCTTGATGTCTAGTCATGTCTAGAATCAAGCAGTAATATTCAGTTATTGTTTTCCTACATGCAGAAGCACTGTACCTTTCCTTAAATTCAAGCTTGCTGCTCACATTGTCAAAACCAATGGTGTTGTTTGGGGCAGTGTTCTTGGGTGGGAAAACTAAAGCAAGAGTAATTATGATATCATTAGTGGTTATCTTGGTAGACATAGCAAGAAAATGCAATTGGAGAGGGGTACAAGAGGGCTTCTAAAACTATCAATTTCATAGCTTGACTGATGGGTACTCAGATTTTAAAAAACTTTAATCTGCCCATACTTTATATAGTTTTTCGTATGTATAATACATATCATTTTAACAACTGAGATTAAAAACAGGAAAACATTAGGACCTGCCTTTCAAATTATGAAAGATGAAAATTTTGCCAAAATGCCTGAAGGGCACAGGCAAAGTCATAATGAGACTCTACATTATAATTTAGGACTGGGCCAAAATAATGGGGAGATTTATGCAGCACAATGATTTTTTTTTTTTTTGTACCGGGGATTGAACTCAGGTCTTTGCGCTTGCAAGGCAGGTAGCAGTTCCACTGAGCGAAATCCCCAGCCCCACAATGATTTTTAATTGGATATGGTGCTATGATTTTTATCTGCATTTTATGGTAGTTAACTACAAAGTAACCCTTAAAACTAATATAAAAATGCTCTTTTTGCTTCCTGCATGACCTACCAAATAATTTCATCTGAAAGCTACACGGTGGTTGCTGAGCAAGGCTGACACCTAGGGAAGGGATTAGGGTTGGCAGGGCAGTAGCCCAAGGGGGATGGGAGCCCAAAGGGCCTTTGGGGAGGTGCAGGGCAAATGCCTAGCACAAGCGGAGGGCATCTCTGGGCAGAGGTGATGGTGGTGCAGGTCACTGGAATGGGAACAGGGAAAGACATTCCAGAAGAGGGAAGTGGTACAGTGGAAGCTCTCTGAGCCAGAAGAGTAGGCGAGGAAGGATGTGGGCGGGATGCTGGCAGTGTGTTCTGGCACTTGGTGGCAGAGCCCACAGTAGTGTGTGCTGAGTGGTGACAGTGACAGGAATTTCATGACATAGTGGGAGGAGGGGTGATGATCCAAAAAGTAAATTTATTAAGGATAATGTGAACCAGATTTTCATTGCTGGACAAGAGTTATGACAAAACTGAAAATGGCCAATTCAATTCTGTAGAGTTGGAATATGAATGTTAATGATTTACATTAATGATAGAGAATGTAGATACACACATCACCTCAGTCACATCTACATGTGTACGTCTGCAACTTTGTCACTTAAGAGGCCTTGAAAACAATGACAAACTCCTAGTAGTAATGAGCACTCCTAGCAACAGATCTTGGTTTCTATTGTTCCCTGTAGGCAGCAGTTTCCATCCACTAAAAGAACCTCCGAGAAATAGTTTTATAATAGTGAACCTTGACACACATCCTTTCATCAGGCAATCAAAATAAGCAGCATAACAGAACCCATGGCAGTTGTGTCTACCCAACAGGACACAATGGTAGGGATTTTATGAGTTAACATGTAGTGTGAGTCATTTTCTGGGTTTAGGCTGTAATGGCCCCTTTAAAGAGTCTCCCGTCCTTAGCAGCACTAACAAATGACACATGAAGAAGGGTGACTGATGTCACTGGATAGGCCTCACAGACACCCATGTAGGTTGTCCACCGCACCGTCGATCTGTCTGTCTGCCATGGACCGCCAACCTGCCCGAATCAACCCTGTTTCTTCTAGCCTTCCTCTGTAGTAGATTTGATCAGGGCTCTTAAATAAAGACAGTCAGTTTTCCTTTTGAGGATACGGAAACTAAAGCTCAGAAAGGTTAAGTAAACAACTGTACAACACATTATGCAGCTGGGACTCCAATCTAGTTCTAGTTTATTCCACTGGCATGAAAGGAGGTACGCCTACATACGTACAATAATCTCTTCTTTCTCACATATTGTTTCCTTCAGAGGATGTCAGTTTACATTTATCTTGTGTGCCTACTGTCTCCCTTAAGTCAGTTCTGTAAGAACAAGTTATCTTAAGTGGTTTAGGCTGTCTCCCAATACTAAAAACAGATGTGCTCAGTAAATATTTATCATGTGTAAAAAACCAGTTACTATTTTCCCAGTGTCAAAGGTCTTTTTTTCTTTAAGATTACAATGGAATACTTGTAAAATGTTCTTTCTGTCTTTTCTTTAGATGAACGTTATCCACAAAAGTGGATTGATTTCTATGTTAACTGAAAATGGCCAATTCTTTAAGAGGAGAAGTACTGAACCTTTACAAAAATGTAAGTAATTTTATTGCCAGTTTTATAAATGCTGTACAACATGGATTGTTTCGAGATGTACAATATTTCTTTTTTAAGCTGCTGTATCTTGGACGGGACTACCCAAAAGGAGCAGACTATTTTAAAAGGCGTTTGAAGAATGTTTTCCTTAAAAACAAAGATGTGAAGGACCCAGAGAAGATCAAAGAACTTATTGAACGAGGCGAATTTGTAATGAAAGAGCTAGAAGCCTTATACTTCCTTAGGAAATACAGAGCTATGAAACAACGCTATTATTCAGATATCAACAAAACTAACTGATCATTATTATTGTAGACTGGCTGAAAAATCAGTACCAGCTCTTTACATATATATGAAATATTGTGAAATAAACCTAAAAATGGCAACACATATGTAAAAAAATCTGAGCTGTCTTACTGAACTAAAGTAACTTTGTCTTTACTGATATCAAGAGCTTTGTCCACAACAGTGTTAAACTTTTATTATGAAAATAACTATACTATCAGTTGTAAATGAGTACTCAATATAATACACTTAATTCTCCATTTTATTAAGAATACCATTTAAAACAATTTCTTACACATTTATTGATATACCTACAGCACATATTTAAGGTCTATTACAAAATTAACAGACTTCAGTAATGATTTAAATGCAATTCTAGAAATAACATGAAGATTATGTCAGTCCTTAAAATGGCCTGCCAAGGACTATGACTGGCATTATATAACTTCAGTTATTTCCATTAATTTTTGCTGCTGGCTCCTTCTGGGTCTTAGAACAGTAGTTCTGTATCAGTTTTTTTTTTCATAAGTAATAAATCATGTTAACTTTATTTTGTCATAAAAGCAACTTGTTTTGCATCTACTTCTATGGGTTAACGTGGCAATGGACTGAATCCAAACATGATTTTATGTTTAAGTAAACACAAACCTTTTTATAATATTCATAGTAACTTCTAAAAATAAATATTTTTAACTTAGGAGCTACTACAAGGTTCACTGGTATACTTACGTTAGTTTTTTGTGGATTACAAAGTATTCCATGTCAGTTGTGGGGCAAATGTTTTAAATTTCCATCTAGAAATACACATTATCGGGGCCAAGGATGTAGCTTGGTGGTGAGCCACTTGCCTAATATGTTTAAGGCATTAGGTTCATCCTCCAACACCTTAAGGGAAAAAAAGATTTAAAAAAACCAAAAAACAAATACACACTATCATGGTCACTATAACTATTTTTTATTACATTACGATAGGAGTGGTACAGTTCATGACAAAAATATTACAAATTTCATATCACTTCACAGCACATACTCCTATAAACATTTCAAAGTTAATTTTAATTAAAAGAGTGGTCATTTTAAAATTTAATGTTCGATATGACCAACATTCCTAGGTCAGCGCAACCAAATGATGGAAAAACAACTGGATCACACTGCATATGTCCCACAAAAAAAGCACAATGTACAAAATGTGCATGTTTCAGTTTACACTATACAAAAATAGTTAAAATACATTCCAGGTAAACATGTTACATTAAGAAATAGTACTAGTAAGAAATTGGCACTCAAAGGAAAAATGCAAAAGTATTTTCAACATGAAAACACAAGACAGTGGAACTGGAAACTTTCTGATAAAATATTAACGGAACCCATTTAGCTCTAATGGGGTATGGACCCTCTGAAATTGATGTATTTTGCAGATAAACTTTCTTCCCCCTAAATTCCTCTAAAATGCCTATCATCATCCAAGTAGGCACTTCAGACTATTGAACTAAAACACAAATCTCAATCTAGTTATGACTATCCTTCCAGAACAAAGTATATCTTTAGAAATTTTCATTTGGACAAGATTTTACAACTGTCAGTTATCTGCTATTCAGTTTCTTAATGCAGAATTCACACTACCCAATATTAACAGAGGTTACTAAATATAAACTCATTTTTTTTGATGGATTTTTAAAAGAAATTACTTTAGATGGAAATGATTTCACGTAATTTTTACTGTCTACCCCCAAAACATCCCTAAATGTGTGTAACATTGTTTGGGAAAAATGGTTAGATGAAAATCACTAGAATACAAACAGAGATGAGTTTGTGCAAACTAACTTAACATGCCTCACAATGGTGTGTGTGTGTGTGTGGACAAAATTGTGCAATGGTGGCAGAAGGATAACCTGTAAAAGTTAGATTCTAAGTTCTTATGCAGTGTGACTCAGTTAATAGAGCCTAGAATTCTTAACTGAGAATATTCAAATTATGCTATCGATGTCTGCTATATTCTTCCCACAAACATGTTAATGCCTAATACTATGTAACTTAGCACTGTTTTAAACTTCAACAAGGATTTTAATCTTTAAGGCTGTAGTAATTAGATAACATTTATTTCTAGGATTTGCTCCCCTTTAAAAATCTCTACAAAAACCTTTTGTTAAACCATTCAAAATTCACATAATAAAGGATAATTACTGCTACTTTAAAAAAATTTGCCTAGCTACATAAAAAATTCAAGAGTCCTAAATATCCCATTATGCACTGCAGTTCCTGAAATATGCTCATTTCTTTCACTGTGTAGAAACTAGAGGAGGTACTGCACAAGTCTTATAACCCTATCTAGACAATGTTCCATAAATCTGTAGTTTAGTAAAGCATTACACATGTCATACTTGGTTTTTACAGAGGTTTCCTTTTCTATGAACTAGCTCAGGCACCTGTTTATTTGTACCCAAATAAAACTATAATATTTAATTTTTAAAAGTCTGCTTTAATTACTTATACAGAGAGAAAGCTAGAATATTATACACAAGAATTTTTACTCCTTTAAAACAATGAAGTAGCGTGGTTTATATCAAGTAGTTCAATTAAACAGTTGCACTGGAATCACAGCAGAACAATTACTGTAGAACTGGAAGAACCCTTAGAGACCAAACCTTCTCTTTGCAGAACTTAAATTATATACTGTATTATGTTATCTCTGGGTCACATGCCAAATATGTTACTAAGATATAAGAGAAAATTCACTAATTCACAAGGATTATGTCCCTTTTTTGAGGCTGTCAATTCCCCAGTGCCTGGTCCAGTGGCTGAACAAATTATATACTGTATAAATGAATTTTGCTAAGATGAAAATTTTATGAATTAAACTTTATAAAGTTTTGTTCACTGTAACATGATTTCAGTTAATAAAACAATGGAATGTATCACTGTTACCACGACTACTCCTTGATGTAGACTTGAGCATTACCTTTATTACATTCTCCTTGTACTGCAGCCGGTGGTCAATTTATACTAGGTTTGAAAATTCCTACTTTAGTCACCAATGGACGATTTAGTGAAGAGATGATGTTCAAAGATCAGTATTAAATGGTACAGCAACCACCTGAAAATTAGCTGTTAGGTCCAATCCCACTATAATATTGCCCAGAGAAAGACACAGGGCAATTTTGATCTATCTTAATGGACAGCCTTCTTGGAGATTCCACAGCAGCAATTTATTATAAGGTTATGGGAATCAAAATATTAAAAGAAAACTGCACTGAATCATGGGGTATGTGAAACGGTGGCAGGTAAAGAGGATTATTAATATGGAAGAGGAGTACTGAAACTGGAGAATGGATATTCAAATACAAACTTCACCTCTTGCACAATTTTGCCCAAGACTGGCAATGAAGATGATTATACAGATAAAAAGGTACAGCAGATTGTGCTGAGCTTGACAAACAGGTGTATCTTCATGTAAACTGAATGTAAACTACAAAGTTATAAAGTTGGACAGGGCCTTTGAGATGATTTCTTTTAACAGAGTGGGTAGTAAGTGATATACTCAGAATCAGTTTTAAAAGATACATACCTACAATCTAAGTCATCTTCCTCCTAGCCCAGTGATATTTTTACTTCACCACACCATCTCACTTCAAATATTTTAAAATAACACTTTAAATGTATTGAATTTTTTATTAATATTATTTTTAAAGCATTAGATATTCTTAAATGTGGATAGGACATGAAAAGCATTCATGAAATGCTACTGTAGCTAGTATTAAGAAAACTAGCCAAACCTAGAGTTTGAAATTTTGTTACTTACTGCTTTAAAAAAAAAGGTGTGGTGCCCTTACCCCCAAATTGCAACTTTTAAGTTCATATTTAAAAGTAATTTTTTTAAAGTACTATAATTTGTCAGTAAAGACTACCACACAGTGAGATTGCGTTCTGTTGACTTATCCATGCCCGTTTAGACCAATCAGTTCATGACAATGTTGGATGACCATGGCAATGCAGTCCCTGCTATAAAACTCAGTGATGCTCAGAGGTATCCAGGGAGCCCGACCTGTGACGCTTAGAGAAAGTATAATTGGCTTAATAATCTTTGCTATCACTAAGAGAACCAAAACTATTTTAAAAAACTGAGGCTTAAATTTGTGCTACAAGCAATCTAAGACAGGGAGACTATATTTAATTCCTACAGAATTTTTATGCACATTAAAATTGTTTCAACTATTATAAAATTTTAGTAGCATGTAAGTATAGTCCCAAAATGGTTGGTATAATCCCCATTGCATACTGAATCTGCCTTGACAAGAAAAGCTAAGAATCTTACAGTAATTTATCTAATGTGGAAAGTCAATGGCCTTTTAAAATTTTTCATTACCTTATTTTTTTTCTATTTTTCCCTTTTTATAGAAAAAATATAGTATTTTTGGAAGAATGACCATGACTAATAGCAGTGGAAAGGGGAGAAAACCTTAGTGGACAGTGTAACTTTACATTCATGAAGGACGACAACTGTAGGTCATGATGTCTAGAAGCTGAATCAAAGGAAGCCTATAAATTTGTGATCCTTCAATAGTTCAGTAAACTAATAATAAAGTCTCAAATGAAGTTATAATTACTAAGTAATCCATTTTTGTGACTAAACAAGAGGGATGATTCAAAAGCTTCATAAATCTGTTTCAGACCAACATTCACAATTGGTAAGAAAAATAGGAAGTAATCAACTTGCATGCACCAAAAACCCCAAGACAGAAATCTCAGGTATTCAGTTTCTTTTTCACAGGCATTGCTAGTTCAGAAACCAAAATGCAGGGAATACTGGCACTTAGAGGAAGAAAAAGTTTCCACTGTCATTTTAAAATGAGCATTTAAGATAAAAGCTAAAAGTCTGCCTGAAACAGGAAAAAAAATTAGGTAATGCTAAAACAAAAGCTAATAATTTAGTATAATGTACAAAAATTACCACTTTTACTTAAGTATGCCTTAAGAAAAAAGTACAAATTGTATTTACATAATTATACACTTTGTCTTTGACTTCTTTTTCTTCTTTTTACCATCTTTGCTCATCTTTTCTTTATGTTTTCGAATTTCTCGAACTAACGTATAGAAGGCATCATCAACACCCTGAAATACAGAAAAAGTGTAAAATACAAATGTTTATATATGGTGATTTAAGGTACATAGATAATAGGTTTCCATAAACACTAGCAAAGAATAAGGACATTATGGTTTCCTTCAGGCAGTTGAATGTATCACTTTTAGGATCTTTAAATAACTTCTGAATTACAAATGAGACTGATTCTCCTATCAGACAATAGAGATCAATAACACAGAATCTTATAGAAGCTTAACAGATGACTGTTTCTTTTTGCAGAACTTAATTTGCTACTCATTTTTCCATATTAACCACCTTACTCCTCAAATCCAAATGAAGGCATGAGTGTGCTTGTGCACACTTGTGTATATACACTTCTCACAGCAACAGTATCTGAGCTCTCATTCTAGACTTACAATTTAAATACTTCACCACAAAGTAAATAGCATCCAGACTGCCCCTTTTTCAGTTTTCAAATGTTACGACACTAGTTTCAACCCACACATTATCATTAAGTGGCATACAGTGACCCTGACAAAAGATAATACTATTCTGAAAAACGTTAGCACCTCTGACTTTTGAAGTGCTGAATCATTTAAATGGTTATAGTTTAGTTTCTGTTCAGTATTTTATATAGAGCCTGCCATATAAATCAAAAAATTTCAACACTGAGTCCTAAGTGTATTTGTGATCACAGCAAGCTATATAAATTCTAAATCAACTATGGTTAAAAAATGAGTAAGTCAGAATCATTTTTAATCTAATAACCCACAATGTGAAAAGTGGTATTTTGAAAGAGGTAGAATAGATTTTAACCCTTGAATACTTAATTATTCATTGTCAACATATAAGTTTCACCATGTATCTGTTAATAAGTGAATTAAATGTAAGTAAAGGAATAAAATTGAAAAATATGATCTTCTCTTGTAAATTAAAATCTTTTCCACCCACTAGTAAATACATAAAGAAAACATGTTAATTATGCTTGCAAACCTAGACACTAGAGGGAGTCTTAGAAACAAACACCCAATAAATTAAATTGGATAAATCAAGCAATGTTAAGAACAATAAACTGAGTTTCTAGTCATCGTAATTTAGCTCTGTTGAATAATTACATAAACTTTATAATATGGATTGTACATATCATGTATAAATACATTAAATTATCTTAAAAATTAAAATTTAAGTGATAGGCTTTATCATTTAAAACATTACTCAGATCTTCAATAACATCTTTTAAAATAACAAATTAATTTAGAGCCTTTTCTTTCTCAAGTTATTTTAACTAATTTTCAAAACAGATACATAACTCAGAAAAGTATGACCACTATTTTCAAACGGGAAAGAAAGTGGCAATGAGAGGCTCTCCCAGGTTCGAGCAAACAGGAGTAGGATAAAAACCAGCATCACTGATTTGAATACCAGTGAATAAATGTTCCCAATTAAATACTCAAACTGCATTCAGTGATGCTTTCCACTTTCTAAAAAATCATTACTGATACAGTAAATACAAACACATGCTTTTGTTTCTCCCAAAGGAGAAAGGAAAAGTGATAATCTATCAGCAATACAACCAAGGCTTACCTAGGTAGCTTCCCTTATGCTAGCCTTAACACATATAAAATGGAAAACTTCCAAAAAACTAATAAAAGTTACATATGACTCACAAACACGTGACAACCGAGAATCAGAAATCCTGAGATTAGGATGAAGACTTAAAAAAGGATCTATAGGGCCGGGGATTTAGCTCAGCGGTTCGGTGGCCTGCCTTGTAAGCGCAAGGACCCAAGTTCAATCCCCAGTACCAACAAAAAGGGATCTATAATTCCCTTATCCTTTGGCCACGCACTCTTCCGTAGTCTATTTCAACTACTTTTATAATGAAGAAAAAATGCCAGTGAAGCAAAAAATGAAAAAAATCGTAAGACAGAAGATTTGTAAGGTAAAAGTATACACTTAAACAGCTGAGACACAATGAAGCCAGGTGTGGGGCACACACTAGTAACCCCAGCACTCAGGAGGCTAAGGCAGGAATGCTCCCGAGTTTGAGGCCAGCCTCTGCTACACAGTGAGTTCAAATGAAGCCTGAACTACATGCGTAAGATCCTGTCCCCCCAAAACAAAAAAGAGAGACAGTCAAGACAGATTTTGATAACATGGCCCTCTTCTAAGATTCTAACATACTTTAAGCTCATGCTGCACTGACCTCTACAAGAGAGAATTTCAGTGAGTAGGGAAAATGTCACAGTTAACCTAGACAGTACATTAAGTTCCTTTTTCTCGTACAGGAACTAATTACTCATGTAATTCATCTGTTTAAGCCTATCTTTTTCAAGACTAAGAAAATCTGATTTGTATCTTATTATCAAATTTAAAAAAATATTTTCACTGAACTTTAAATATTAGGGA